ATTAATACTTCTGTGAGTTTGTTGCCTGGAGCGACTTGATGGGCTGGCGCCACCTGCAATTTAGTTAACTGGAACTAAATTGAAAGAAAATTCTGTCGACGAAATGATTGTTTGCGTTCACAAGTAGATCGCCAAACAGCATAGCGGCTTGTTTTAGTATTTGTACATTTGCAATAAATTAATGCAAGTCGCCGGATATGCATGGAACAATATGGTCTTTTTTAGTAAACAAAAAAATGGATGTAAACAACACATGGACTGTATTGAAGACTATTATAGTTATTCTATAATGCATCTATCTTAAATACGTTCATAATTTTGTTATTTTGACGCGCATTGTATACATATTGAATATGATGCCAAGGATCAAACAGATTGAACCATCTTACAAGATGTGCGTATTAGTGTGTTGTGTGTTACACATTCAAATCCAGTGAAAGAAACATTTACATACATTTACATACATTCACATAATAACACGCATCATGTGATTCGAACTCGCGCACATGACGTAGGTGTCCCCGTTGCTAGTGGATGCGCTAACCATATTTACTGACCACAAAAAAAAAAAATCAGCTCAATATGACTTGTAGGCTCTTTTTCCATATTCCACGACGCTTGACCAGATATACGCGTATACAACAGCTAACAAGCCACACCAACACAGCGACTGCTGAGGATATGTACACACTCCCACCATGTCATACTCTGTAATATGCATAACAATTCTGGTCAATGGGAGAACATTGAAAGATGTTTTAGGAAATAATGGCACAGGGAATTGATGCAGCAGATTGTTTCTGTCATAATGCAGATATTATATCATACTACTCATTTGTTATGCTCAAGAAAATTCGTTATTGTATTGTCTCACATATAGTCACATTCAAATTGTATTGTATTGTCAAATATTAAATATCTTTTCTACTAACCCCCATAATCAGTTTTATGTGCTGGTACTAAATCCCCAAACCGTACTAAAATATAAACAGGTAATCCAATACCACAACGTTATCAATACTTACATAGAGAATAGATCAGGTTGCTAATGGTTCAGTCTCGCAGCGACGCCCACTCATTGGCAATGTATGTATGTTACCACAATGTCAGAGGTGATGTATCCCATCAGATAAATCATAATACATTTGTCATTTGTCACAAATACTGCATATACGAATAAATCAAAATTGTCAAGGTCACAACTTGACAGTGTGAGATATATTGGTCACAGCAACGCCTCTATGACGCACTTTTTTGTATGTGTGTTTTCCCAGTCAGCACAAAATAGGAAGTAAAATCGACACAACGATTTTGCATAACGTTTTAAATGCATATTATTGCATTTTCGCTATGATATTTTGCTCGTTCTTTAAATCAAATCGGTGTAGATTGTTATAATCTGTAATTTATTCATTTAAAACAGGGCATCCATAAATTGGTTTCCGTGAACTGAATAAAATACATGTAAACATGCACAGTAGAACACTATATACTTGGTCATTTTCAGTTTATTTTCACTGTTGAAAATCAATTATTTCAAAGTAGTACAATATAAAAATAGGCATGTGATTAGAAATAATAACTCGAGATATAACACAAATAAGTAAGGTCACGTCGTCTGTGTCACGGTGCATCAACAATCAGTGTGTAATCATTGTGTGTGACATGTCTATTGAGTTATTAACAATTGATAGACCGCTCAACAGAGGATAGGTCCTTTGTCACATAATAAGATATCGTGTGAAGTCATATTTATCGTCGCCAGTGTACTCGTCGTCAAGTTTTCATCTCTTATCATAGCTAGAGTACAATGTTGAAGACTTGGGAAATACTACTCATAATGCTGATGGGCTCTCGAACAATAATGTCTGACACTAATGTCACGATACTACACATCAACGATTACCACAATCGATTCGAACCTGCCAACCAAGATGGAGGCAGGTGTACTGTAATGGACGAGACATTGCATCAGTGTTATGGCGGGTTTGCTAGATTGGTCACACAGGTGGATGAATTACGATCTACAAAATCCAATGTGCTGTTGGTCGACGCCGGTGACCAATATCAGGGGACCTCCTGGTTTATAGTATTTCAAGGTAAAGCAGCGGGGTATTTCATGAATTATCTTCAGTATGACGTCATGGTAGGTACAATTTAATAATAATAATTACGATGCATGCTATTTCGCATTTGAGTCCCATCTCTGTAATTTTACAAGATTATTTAAATTCTTGTACCCTCTCCTAATCCACTCCTCACGGATGCTTAAAAAGGTAAACTCTAACTGAACTTAGCTTTATAGACTGTGCTTATTGTAGCCAGACAAGGTCGCATGAGTTTCACCCATTCCGATGCTTTAAACCCAAACACCTACATGTCAGACTATGCTCAATGGGGCGTACAAAAAAGGTGACACTACAAATGCCAAGAACAAATAGAAAACGTGTGTTGATTTGGTGTATATGGTACTTGTTTATGTTTTGCGCACGTGCATTGAATGGTTGGAGAATCGGTCATTCGCTCTTGTTAGAAATATACATGAATTTGTTACGACAAATAACACAGTTTATGGGTAACGTTGTCACAGCAGATGCAATGCATTAACCCCAATTGCTTAAAGTGCCAATGTGTAAACAATACAAACCGTATGCATATCACTCATAACATATTATTTGATTGCCAGGCGCTTGGTAACCATGAATTTGACAGTGGTATATCTGGATTGGTTCCATTCCTGGAGAATGTGACTTTTCCAGTAATCTCCGTCAATATTGATGCCACTCACGAACCACAACTTGATATGTTATATCGTCCGTCGGCGGTCTTAGATTTAGATGGCGGTGACAAGATCGGATTTATAGGATATACAACTCAGGACACTCCAATTTCAACATCGACAGGTAAGGTCTTGTACGTGTGAGACAATTATTTGTCATTTAGATCCGAATATTTAATATAATATGACCAATTTGTGATAAGGAAAATAAATATTTTTAGTATATTGGTACATTGTCTAGGAATAGAGAATAAAATATTAATCATGTCGGCCACATAAATACTGGGACCAATTACCAGCAATTTGAAACAGCTAAATAACTACATAAGAGAGATTGAGAATACTAATATCACTTACAGTACGTTTCAACTATGCTTACCAAGAATAACAATTTTATTCCGGAAATAATGGTAGTTCTTATCCAGTCTAATTGTTTGATTCTAATGTTTTTTTAATAGATTATTACCATCGTGTTTTCAAGAACAAAAACAAAACTGTTATAATATACAATGCGTCTTCATTTATTTGATTGGAAATCCTTCTTTTATTATGGTTAATTTGAACGTTTATTTCTGCGGTAGTGCGTTCAATTCATAGTTGTTTAAAACATGGGAATTCCTGTAAAGGTCAGTTTACTTTCAGGCGACTTGATATTTCTTGACGAAATCGAGGCCATTCAAGCGGAGGTAGATCGGCTAACCAGTGAGGGAATAACTAAAATCGTTGCACTTGGGCATTCTGGGTATACGAAGGATTTGGAAATTGCCGAGAAAGTTCGAGGGGTGGATTTGGTCATTGGTGGACACTCCCACACCTTGCTGTACTCGGGTAAAGGATATTCATATTAATTTATTTTATATGTATGCTAATCTTTTTACCAATTCAGCCAATTCCCTGACTGCCAAAGGTAGAAAACGTTGAATGTCTTCGTCTGGATTTCAGTAGAGTATGCAAAAAAATTGAACTTCTATCACTTTGGAAATAGTTTATTCTATATAACCCCATGTGACCACGTATTAACCAATCATGACACAGAATATGAATATGGGGTGTTATAATATGTATAACAATCTCATACAATTCAGGCGAACCTCCTGTACCAGAAGACGTTGCAGAAGGACCGTATCCAACATTAGTAAATTCGGCACATGAACTATCGTATATAGTTCCTGTTGTAACTGCATATAGGTACGGTAAATACTTGGGACATCTCCAATTAACGTTTGATGATGATGGTAACCTAGTTGGTTGGGAAGGAAATCCAATAATATTAGATAGCTCGGTGGCTGAAGGTAAGACACTGACCCTCAGACAACAACAACGCTAGACGCGATCATCCCCATATAGATAGCGCATACTAACAATTCGGTTATCATTATTGGTTTTGTTAGTGCTTGTGATAAATATTTATTTGACGATGGTTGATGTCTTATGTCGGACCATGGACGCACTAGCAAACCAAAATAATTTCGAGATCACAAGATACATAGTGCGTTGTGCAAACAATAGTATGGTGTATTGTATTACAATAAAGGTTTATTTGATGTATGTATATTCATTTAGAAATATATGTTAATTTATATATGTACATATATTTGATACAGATACAGATGCACTAAACGAAGTTGGTAAATGGAGAAGTGATTTAAATGCTGCCACGGCTGAGATTATAGGTGAGACTCATGTATTTCTTGATGGCAGAGGAGAAAGTTGTCGCTTCAAGGAATGTAACATGGGTAATATGCTGTGTGATGCGGCTATATGGTACTATCATAAAGTGGGTGTCAAGGATGCAAACTTGGCCATATGGAATGGTGACGGAATCCAAGAATCTTTCTATGAAGGTATATACGTATTCACTATTCACTCTTTACACTAATCCCAAACTAATAGACGATCTGTTAGCTAACCTAGTCTAACTACTTTGCTGGATAATTACATATTTTATTCTCACATTTTCTATACGACTTTTTGTTTTGTATGTATGTATTCCAACATACAGACTTTTAAAGGCAGTTCGATTCGATCAGAGCCTTTGACAAATGAACATCGGTAATTTATGCGTCTGCCTTTTGCGAATAAATGAATTGATGGCTATCAATTTACCAATAACAAGGCTATTCTGTCTCAAAAATATACACATACACTTTTCAACTATATACAATCGGCCAGTTGTTGTTGTCAAACTCCAACTGCTTATGACTACTATACCTCTTTATTGAAATATTCCACACGAGACTTTTCGAAAGTTCAAAGAAACTCAACATGTCAACTGGTGTCACAATTTCATTTGAAAAATATGCCAGAAGTGAAGTATGTTGTCAAATCCATAGACTCGAGTAATTTCATCAAAATGAAATTCTTGCTAATCACAATTCATTTATTTATTAAATAAACATTCTTATCAATACTCAAACTACACAAAACAACATACAAAGGTAGAATTATTACTGGATAATTAATATGTTCTACCAAAGAGTTGAACATTAACATGGGTTATTAACGTGGGGGCAAAAACATTGTGATGTAATTTTTTTTAGAAACGGTATAAATCAAATTATTACAGGATATTACAGCAATATTCCACCCCCCTATACCTGTGGATTATATATTTCCAAACTCGCTATGCCTGAGCCTGTAGTACGACTGCAGACTTTTCAAAACGACATTGTCTTCTTTCGTCTAAACATTTAAACCAAGGGCGGGTGCCACATGTGGAGCAGTACAAGCTCACTTATTTCGAGACACATGACATCACTTCATTTATACCATCATATATTTTTCTCATACTGAATTGATTATGTAGTAATCGTCAGTCGTTTTGTTTTACGTTCTTGGACGTTTGTCTAAAGATTTTTGTGCCTAGCATATTAAATTAGATACTTAGCACTGTGTTTATTCCTTCATTAGGTAACATTACTCTGGGCGATCTCATGAATGTATTGCCGTACGAGGACACAATAGATTTGCTGGAACTGAAGGGTGCTGACATCATGGATATTTTGGAATATTCTGTACATTTGTATGACGGAGTGAGTGGCGAAACTGGATTTTTACAGATGGGAGGTACGAGGTATTTTAATGGATTTTTTTGGGTGGTTGTGTTGCCATGGAGATAAGATTTATTGTTTGATTGATTGATTCTTTTTTAATACACATATATATTATTATATGATACAAGTTCGGTATCAAAGTAGTATTTCACCGCCACTGGTGTGATTGTCGGAAAAACAGTTTTCAATATAATGTTACATTTATTCTTAGCATACCATGATCTACACAGGTATACGTGTGACCTTTGACACGAATATGCCAGCCTACCAACGCGTCGTTAAAGCAGAAGTGATATGCTCTGAGTGTGACGTGCCCCAGTTTGTTACTTTGGATATGGATACAACTTATAAATTGATCTGTAATTCATTCCTGGCAGCTGGGGGACATGGATACAGCATGATCGTCGATAACAAGTTGTCACATCATATTGGTAAAAACAAGTTTTTTTAAACATTCCGAAAGTGTTGCTAATGCTTGCTTGTTTGATAAACCATAAGGTTTAAGAATGCGACTCACGACTCAGTGACAGCTTCTGTTGCATTCCTGTTTCTTGGGCATGCATTAACCAATCCTCTTGGCACAAATGCAGGCAATGTAGTGTTCCCCATATACACCATTGCTAGGAAACGTTGAGACGTCGAATAGTTTGCTTTCTGCATGGGCAAGTGCATGTTCCCGGTTGTATACGTAGAGGACACCACATGAAACACCCTAAGATAAGCGATTATAAAATATCCCATAGCAACTTTAAAAAAATGTAATTTGTGAGCGCGTGTTAAAGATTCCGTAGAACGCCTTCTCCGTAAAATTAAAGGAATTTTTATTTTTGAAGCAGTCATCAGTCTCAAAAATGTATTGGTAACTAATTTTAGAGTAAATTCAATGCACGGCTTTCAAACAATTTGTGAACAATTTGCATAGAACTACACTGGCTGATAAGTTGAGACTGCACAAATTATGCATTACATGTATACGGCTTTCTAGCACAGACATATTGCACATGATACAAAGTATGGAAATATCGAAAATTGTCATACATGCGAGATGTATTATTATACAATTGACAATATCACGCGTTACTGCAGTGTACCAAATCACTTAAGGCCGAGCGTCATGGGGTGGGCCATCATCCGAATCCCTTTCGGATTCTCTTGTTTTGTGTGCTCCGGTCATTGAAGTGCGCCCTCAGTTCTAATGTGTTTATAACTGGCTGATCAAACAGTTGGGCTAATCATCTGATCAGAAATTGACAACTCTGACAATTGGACTAGTGGATCTAGTGGGTCACAGGAGCTCTCGCCAAAAACCTGGCATGTTTAATTTTCGGCATTTATATTTGCAATGCACATGTGCTTCAATGGAAGGTTTAATACAGGTGTGTGATCCCATACGATACTAGATTGACATCAGTCATTTAGCTATTTATAAAAAAACACGATATACGTTTCTGCACCTATGTATGAAGACGAACTTGAATAACATGTTTATCAGCACTCAATAAAGCATACTAATGGTTGATTACTTACTTTCAGGCAACGCTCATTCGTCTTATGGTAGACATGCATAACTGATATTACTTTATTACGTCGTTTTCCTTTTCAGGTGCAAACGAGCTGGACATTATGTCAAACTACTTGTCAACAATGAGTCCTATGTATAATGGCAATGATAATAGAATAATATTTGACGAAAATAGCAAGACATGTGACATCACTTCCGCTGTTGGTCACTTAAGTAGTGACCCGACTTTTGTTTTATTTTTGTTACATGGTGCATTGCAGTGCTATATACTGTTTTACTAGTAGTAGCACTCCCTTGTGTTTCACTGACATGAACGATCATTGCAAAAAGTTCGCAAACAATAGTGTTTATGTTATGATGTATGTATGTATAAAATTTGTGTTCAAATAAAGTGTTTAATTATTTTGTTTTTCAATTCATATACAGTTTTACGTATCATTTCATTTTAAAAAGACAATGTGAAGATTGTTTTGAGCATTATATTATTGAATATTATTTTATTAGAAATATTAAGATATGATTTTGTACTCGTTGCAAACAATATTTACTATGACATTCTAGCATAGTATTGTTAAACTGGAAAAATCATTCCAGCAGTCAGAAATACTTTAAAGAGTTTTTATCTCCATCATCTCAAGTTTCTTACAAGTTCCTGAGTCTGTGAATTATCTATTCTACAAGTTCCCGAGTCTACAAACTATTTATTCTACAAGTTCCCGAGGCTGTGAATTATCTATTCTACAAGTTCCCGAGTCTATAAACTATTTATTCTAC